CTTCTCTCTCTGTCTATATTTTATATATATTTTTAAAAAATAAATAAATAAATAAATAAATATATAAATAGTCTTGGACAATGACGTTATGATATAGAAAAACTAGTACAGATGGGAGTAGTTGTTTCATAAAGAGGATTCTCATGGACAGGAATTCATTAGAGCAGGTTTGACTGTATTTGAAATAAAAATTGTATATTTTTTAAAGTACAATTTCGTTCCCACTTTCCTCTTTTCTTCCTCAGAGAATTCTACCGAATCAGTGACCGTTACGACGGTGACCTCACATTGTTGGCCAGGGGTCAGGCCATGGCTGCTAGGGTTCATGGGCTGTGGCACAGGGTCAAAGTCATTGATGCAGACGTAGAGAATGGCACCGTACAGGTATCCACAGGAATTGCTGAAATTTGATTGGATCTTTAGTCTCCTTATTTGGGATGTAAGATGGTTCTGTTGTGTCTTACCAATGCTTCCAGTGTATTGTATTTTTGTGAAAATCTGTTGAGACAGATAAAGAGAGACATACTCTTGGTGAAAAAATAGGTATTATGGGTTGTTGGCATTCCCTTCAATCAGACTCCCAAATGTCATTTTTAACCCTCTAAAACTAAAAGCACAAATTTATTATTTTTTCAGGGGCTTTGCACCTTGAACTCTTTTCTTTGACACTTATATGACCTTATTGTGTTGCAAGTGCAGTAAAAACTCTTACTCTAACTGAACTAAACAATAACACCACTATGGTCCTTCTTCAGGTGCTATGTGTGGACTTTGGCAACATAGAGATGGTGCCTGAGGTGGAACTGAGAGAGCTGGACTTGAGGTTCATCCATCTGACCCTGCAGGCTGTCGAGTGTTCCCTGGATGGGCTCGAGCCTGTGGACAGCACTGGTCGGTGGCCGAAATCTGTCTGGTCAGTCTACTCTAACATTTACCATTGCTGGAGGTCTGAGCATGAATATTGGAAGCAACTGGTTTCCAAGTTTTACTTTGTTATCATCACCTTGTTTTTTTTGTGTATGTAATTTATAAAGTTCCTTTCTTCAACAAAACTTCTGTCACTATGTCTATCGGTCATAATTTTTGTAGGCTTTTTATCACTTTCATTGTTCTATGTGTGTTTGAGTGTAAAACGTTTGTATAATTGCCAAGAAATATAAAGTGCTGATAGTGTGTTGTGGTGTCCTGTTCTGTAGACATAGCAAGTTTCACTTCTGCACTGTACAGGAGAGCTTGTGTGAATACAGTTATCCTATGTAGTAATAAAACATTTAATTAATTAGGGCAAAAGAGAATGAGAAAGAGGAAGAAAAATGAAAGAGCAAGAGAGGAAAGAGAAAAAAATTTCTTACTCCTTCAGTGTGTTGGCAACTTTGCATCTGAGTATGTTTTCGCTCTATGAATTTTTATCAGTTGTAGGTTTATGTAAGCTGAGGTTAGGAGAACGTAAACTTTTGCATTTTTGTGGATCAATAACATTGTCGTGTTTGATTTATGCTTCTTTAGTATCATCTGGCCTTGCATTCATATGTTTTGTTAGCTGGCTAGAATATTTTTTACCTTCTGGCATCACATTTTCTGTTGCAGTGAGGAGTTTGCCCAGTCGTGTGTGGACAAAATTCTCGTGGCTCATGTCAAGCACAGGTAAGAGTCAACACTGGTGGTCGAATGTCGTAGTTGGTAGTTGTTATTCCTCTTTTGATATGGGCATTTGTTTTGTATTGTATTTTTAAAAATAAAGTTTGTAAGAGTGATTATCTAAATTGGTAGCTTTCAAACACAAGGGGGCTATCCCGAAAAAGCTGTTTTGAGAAAATTGAAGGTGAAGTTTTTGTGCCTTGTCTTTAAAAGATAAGGAGAGTTTTCTCTATGACTAAATAAATATACACACTAATGAAACCAAACTTCTCCCATAGTTAGGGCAATGCCTACTTTTGATGTAGGTCACGATTTCCAGAAACCCCCGAAATCTGGGTTAGTCCGCATGTCCTTAAAAAAGACTAATTATTTCCGTGGTTAGCACATACTGTCAAAGGGATGTAATAGTGTCTTATGCTCTCAAAATCCATGGTTACATACCATTTTAAAACAAGTTATATGATGAGTTATCAATTATGTTTGTACCCAAAAGACTGCACAATTGCAGTATATAGTTGGGACATCTGTGAGATCTGGCTTTCGGCATTACTTTACACACTTTTGTAGCTGGGTGTAGAGAGTATTCTCTCTCTCTCTCTCTCTCTCTCTCTCTCTCTCTCTCTCTCTCTCTCTCTCTCTCTCTCTCTCTTACACACACACACACACACAACCACAGACACCCACACATACACAGACACACACACATGCATGCACAATCACACATATACCTGCAAATGTTAAGCCAACAGTACCGCTCAGCCTGGGCTGGCCTTGACTGGCAAGATTGAAACAGCTGCCACCTGAATATTTGGAACTCTACTAATTGAGGTTTGAAGCTTTTACAATGACAAATATTTCTGTCTCCAGGTTCCTGTCAGACCGTCTCAGTGTGGAGCTGTATGACAGTTCAGGGGAAGAAGCACAAGAAAGTCTTAACAAACAGTTGATGAACAAGCAGATGGCACAAGAGGGGCAAAAGAAATCTCAATTACACCCAGAGACAAATGGTGGGGAGGGCTGTGAGCTGGAGGAGGAGGAGGATGTGCTCCCTTACCAGCCGGTCTAAGCCAGTAGCGACCTCTCCGACTTGCACACAGACATGCATACTCACACGAATGCTCACAAACATACTTGCTCGTTTATCACACACACACACACACACACACACACACACACACAACCACACATACATTTTCTATCTCAAATGAAAACATTAGTGCCAAAACCTACCAAGACAAAACAAAATGGAAATGTACTTAAGTTCATGATCTGTGATTTGGGGGTGGGGGGCACAATTGTTCTTTCTCATTAAAGAGTTGTAAATGTAAAAGTCTCTTCGTCGTATTGACGGGGAAAAAAAGTTGTCTCTCCTGAAGTGATTGCTCCAGAGGATGAGGCTGGCGGTTTTGCCGAGCTCTTTTTCTCTGTTTGCCTTATTGATTCATTAGCAAGTTTTTGATGGAAAAAAAATTTAATTTAACAGAAGGTTGGTTAAACTGTTAAAACATTTTTTTACCTTAAACTCAGGGCCCATGGCCTTTTATATCTACTCTAGTTTGCCTTTTTTCGCCACCTGTATCATTTGTTGCTGATGATTTATTAGTTTTTGTTCTTAATTTTTTGTTCATATTCATGTATAAAAATTTTTTTTCAGAATTATTATTTGAAATTCATGGCTACTGTGTTGTTGATGTTCATTCATTACCACTTCAAAGGTTGTACTATCACTAAACTTTGAAGGTACTATATGTCTATCTCAGGGGCTTTGTTTAGAAATTGCTGAGGCACACTGATAGCTAAGCGGTCAGGACATTTGGCTACCATTGCAACTGCCAGGGTTTGAGTTTCTGAAAAGACATTTCTTAACTTAACTTGATTTTTAAGAGTATTGCTGGCTCACCTATCCAGGACGGTCCTTGATGTGTATGTTCTGCCTTGTATCTGTAGTTTTATGTCTTTCCCATCTGCATGCACAACGATAAACTGTGTGCGGCAAAAAAAAACTTTGAGAAAATTGAAGGTGAAGTTTTTGCGCCTTGTCTTTAAAAGACAAGGAGAGTTTTCTCTGTTAGGGCAATGCCTACTTTTGATGTAGGTCACGATTTCCGGAAACCCCCGAAATCTGGGTTAGCCCGCTTGTCCTTAAAAAAGACTAATTATTTCCGTGGTTAGCACATACTGTCAAAGGGATGTAATAGTGTCTTATGCTCTCAAAATCCATGGTTACATACCATTTTAAAACAAGTTATATGATGAGCTATCAATTATGTTTGTACCCAAAAGACTGCACAATTGCAGTATATAGTTGGGACGTCTGTGAGATCTGGCTTTTGGCATTACTTTACACACTTTTGTCGCTGGGTGTAGAGAGTTTTTTCTCTCTCTCTCTCTCTCTCTCTCTCTCTCTCTCTCTCTCTCTCTCTCTCTCTCTCTCTCTCTCTCTCTCTCTCTCCCTCTCTCTCTAACAAGAGAACATCTGAAGGCTTACTGACGTCAGGAAAATGGAACAAAAATATTTCTAGATTTTTCTGAACTTATCGGATGGTAGACTAGGCAGGCTACGGTCTGTACACCCACTGTAAGGAGTAGTTTGTCATATATTGTTCAGACTAGTTATACTCATAGTGTTCTGCAAGAGGTAAGCTCAAATACATTTTATAAGAGCTCTTGATTCCTTAATGTTCTAAGTTTTCTTTTTATAAGATTCTTTCTTTGTGCAATGACCATTCGTTGTTGACTTATAGTGCCTAAGAGAAATGCAGTGTTAACGGAACATTTCATATTTTCGTACTTTCGGTAAATAATGGAGCTATTTTGCAGGAAAGAAATGTTGATTTCATTCTTGACCTTCCCCTTCCCACGTAACCGTTGGTTGTACAATATACTTGACAATATTTTTTTTTTAAACTGACTTTTCCTTCTAAGTTGTAATCCTTTTTGAAATCCCATTATCTTGTAAAGTTTTTGAAATTTAAAAATGAAACATGTATGCAAACATATTGTTTCCATCAATTTATTGGGTCTTGCTATTTCTTTTTTGTTTTGTGTTTTTGATAACAAGAATAACAAGCTTCTTATTCTTGGATGTGATTCCAAGAACATCAAATTTTGAGTATGTAGAGCCCACATTTTTTTGTAGTGCAGAGTCCATAATAGTGGGTGGTTGGCGGATGCTCTGGTGAGGTTTTTTCCTTATTTCCTATCAAACATATGTTGCCTTTATCTCTCCTGGCACTTATATGGCCCAATAGTGATTGTGTTGCAAGTGCCATATACTCTTATTAAAACACAAAAAAGTTCATAATAATGCACTGCCTCCCCCCACCCCCACCATTTCTGTCATTTGGTTTTGGAAACCCATCCCTCAAATCACACTGGCATGAGATGTAATCCCTTTAATACTGGAAGAGCTCACAGCTGTATTCAGACATATGTGATATTTACCTTGTTGTGTCAACTCTGTCCTCTCCCTTTCATCTTACTTCATCTATAGTCTTGTCTCCAACTCTGAAATTGTATATTGACCTGCTTTTGTCTAATCTAGTGTTGACCCAGTACCTGCTTTATAAAATCAAATGTGATTGGGTTATCTAATGAAGGAGCAATTGTCACTTCTTCTACACTGGGTACACTAAGTGAGATCTTGTCTTATATATTCTCAAATTGCTATAACATCTTCCCCCTTGGCTTTTTTCATTCAGACTGTTGTACTATTCATCATCATCATCATCGTCATCTTTTCTCACCCCGTGCCAGAGTATAAGCCACTGATGTACTACTCACAGCCAGAAATATTTTTATTTATATTATGTGAAGAGACCGGTACATAACTTGTCTCCATGCTGATCAGTCGGAGACAACTGCTTCCCAGGTGTGTAGATTAATACTCTGACCTTAAGGTTAGGTCTCTGTTATAGTGGTTTTCATTATTCATAGCTGTCATCTACTTATAGGATGCTTTCCTTCCGCCAGTTAGCAAGTTTTTATTTTTTCATGCCGTATGTACCTCTTTAAAAGTGTCACATCATCATTGTCTTTATGTTTCATATCTGGCCTGTGAAGAGGAAGAATACCTCATAACTTTAGATTACTATTTAACAGCAAGACATTTTGTTGTTGTAACATCCAGAGGTGCTAGGGTTTTGGTCCTTCTGAGTGACATTTAATGGTGTTAAGTATTTAATGTAGGTTCATTTAACTTGTATGTTGTTTCGTGGATTGTCTTTCTTCTTTAACACAGTTTGTAAATTTCACTCTTTTGCATTTTTGTTTGCAGAACTAAAGGTTCTGCTTCTTTACACTACCTCTTTTGTTTCTGTTTGTTTTGATCTTTTCAACAAAATGGCTGTTATGCCAATGTGCTTCTCTTCACACATGATGATGATATGACTTTGTTACCTGAACTGTCAGCTGTCCTTGAGTGGAATTACAGTTGTACATGTTGTATCCTTCTCCTCCTACAGTAAAGCACAGCTGAAAAGCAATATTTTCATGTTATCCTGTGGCCCCCATGATTCATGATTAAATGTAATTAACTAGCCAGGGGAAGTTATTTCCTCCGCTGTTGTTATATTTGGTTGAGAGAAGGAAGGCAGATAACTGCATACCCCCGGGGCGGTGCTACTGACTGAAGTGTCTTTAGGCCTTTCCCAAAGGAGGAGACATTAACCTGTTCTTATGCACAGTAGAATTATAAATGGGCTGATTCATCGATGTCATGCTCATAACTGTGCCTGAACTGCAACAGGGAACTGCTGCTTTTTTTTTTTTTTCCTAATCCTTGCTATCGTCAGTTCTCCTCTACTTCTTTTGAATGTTTGTCACACTCTTGTGACCGGCTATTTCCAGGGTGCCTTGACAGTCGAAGCAGACTTTGTGCTGTTGAAGTTAGAGAGGTGAGCAGAGTGAGTCTGATTCCCTGTAAGGACTTCTCTGTTGACATCCACCCCTTGCCCCTCATATGACGTTATGCAGTTGCGAGCGCCGTAAAACCTCCACTAATACTAAAACAAACAAGACAACTGCAGTACTTCAGTACTTACTTAAAGGCAAATGTCAGTTTCAGTTACTGTGCTCACGCAAGAAATGTCAATTCAATAGCCTGAAAGTGACAGGCTGAAATTTAAAGCATTTTCCTCAGTTTTTTTTGTGACGAGCTGCTGCAAGCCCCACTTGTTTTGTTGTTAGGGCAATGTTATTATAATAAAATGTGATTTGATAATTTCTCAGACTCTGAGTATGAATGTTTTTGTCCATTGTACTTTACCTGTCATTTGGGTTTTCTATCACCAATACTATGATATGCCATGATAGTGTGCTTGTTCTTGTACTATGTGTGTGAATTTCAATGGGAGAGAAAGAGAAAGAGATGAATGTATGTTGACCCTGCTTCCAATCCCCAAGTAAAACATTCTCAAGCTTCTCTATTCTCTACCCACTTATCTCAGTCCTGTTGGAGATTGGAAGTTAAATTCAAAGGGTTAATTTATTCAAAAGAATGGCTCAGTCACTTCTCAAACTCTTCATTCTTTCCTGTCTTCTTCTATTATACTTTTCTCCCCCTTGCGCTGCCTGTTGTGGTGCACTTGATCTCTGACTTGGCAAATTTTGAGGTTCAAACAGATTGGAGTCCCGGTTTTTTTTTGCCTCTCAACTGAGTATTTTAGTGTGAGTGTGAGGCTACTTGCTCAACCTTCCAAACCTGGAATCAGTAGGGCAGAATACTTCAGCAGATTCCTAGCTAGTTTAGAAAAGTTTTCAGGACCCTCCACCACATGCACAAGTATCTGGGGTGAAGCAGTTAGGCACTTCGCTGTCACATGCAGGAGACCCGAGTTCGATTCTGGAGTGGGGCGAATTTTTATCAAGTACCGGTATCTCAGTCTCTCTGCTGGGATGTTGTATCCCTCTCAGCCCGGGTTGGCCTGACAGGCAGGGCTGGAAGCCTGCCTCCTAAATAATCTAAATTGTGTCCATGGGTTATAAAAAAGCACCAGCATGTTTTTTATTTTCAAAAGAAAGCACTGCATGCTATTGAAACTTAAGATGTTATTCGCAGGTACCTACATTACTATAGAAACAATCTACAATACATTGCAATGGACTAAAAATATGAGGGGTTGGGACAAAAAAATACCAGAAAAACAGTGTTTCACGATCAAAATTTTATTTCAGCGTTTTTACACAGGACCAAACGGCAAACAAAAGTATACTTTAGCGTGTATGTGTATTAATTATAAGTCATTAAAGTCTTAAAATAAAAAGGAATGATAATATAATACCACCTGTCTATTCACAAACAGTTTGGGTTTCTGAAGTAATCACTTAGAGGCTACAAATTACTTGCCACTTGCATGGATGAAATCTTACTCTACAAAGTACTGGCATGAACACTTTACTACTCAACAAAACAGGCATGGAATAAAACCCATGCAAATTTAATATCAACACAAAAAAATCAGCACATTAAGTTGAGCCAAATGATAAATATTTCGTTCTAGAAAATTGACCAAGTGGCAAGAAGTCTTGGTTAGGACCACGTTCTTGGTAGATTATATTTTTGATCGCATGCATGAGTAGATCATTAATTTTAAGCAATTTCTTCTATTTAATATGGATCATTCCGTAAATTAATGCTGACTAATATTTTGTTTGTGGATAATTTCTCTCCTTCCTTTATTGGCTTTATCGGTAGGGACATGCATTTTTTCGCCCCCTCCTGCCCACCCAGAAGTAATTGGTACCTAACTTCGAGTTGGGGAAGCAAAGACGGCGTGGCAAAGAACTGGCCACCCTAACACAATATGCCGAAGGCCCAGGAAGTTGTCTTGCTAACAAGGCAATCCCCAATGTCCGGATCGGATGCCGGAACAATTTTACTTTTTTACCTTTATCAAGTTGCCCAAATCAATAAATTCAAAATTCTAGGCTTGTTCCCTGTTCAAAATACATTCATATTCATCGTGCAAATCTGAGATGTAACTAATTTCCTCAATAAAAATCATAGTCTATGCTCCGTGGACCAACGGCTTTAAAGGCAAACTTGTTGAACTTGTAAAA